GCAATATGGTAGAGTTGGTACTTAGTACTCGCCATGGTTCTGGCATGCACTCCCCTCAGCATGGTGGCGTGGGTATACCGTTCCCCATAGCGACCCCTAGAGGATGCAGTTCAAAGTTCCCATGAAAGGAAACGTCTCAGGTTACTTATGTAACCATGGTTCCCTGAGTAGGGAACGAGACACTGCGTCCTCTAGGTTTCTTGCCATGCTGCAGATGCAAGCTTCAGACGAAGAAGTGGATGATGTGTTCTCCCGGCGCCTATTTATACTATAGTTGCACCGGTAGTGACGTCATGGCTGTTGCCGGCCAACGTGTTGTTGGTGTTTTTTCAATGTATGCTTCAGACACGGGTCACGACGAGGCGTTCCCCATAGTGACCCCCAGAGGACGCAGTGTCTCGTTCCCTACTCAGGGAACCATGGTTACATAAGTAACCTGAAACGTTTTTCCACCTAAGGACCTGTCCAGGACGGCAGTGTCGTTCTTGATTTATGCAACCGTGTGGAGCCTTGGAACCAACTCTCCCGAGTTCAAAAGATGTACCTCAGCAGGTATCAGAGAGGCTGTGTCTGTGAGGTAATAATCCAAATCATACTTTTACAATAATTCACCGTAGTTTAACTTGCTCCGAGTTCAGTGCTGTTGAAATCCAGTGGCTTTCATTTTCACCCAACTAAGTTTTCTGCAATTTTGAATATTATCAAACACGTACTAATGCATTTGCATACTTGGCTTTGTAATTTCTACTTGCAGCCCTTTGTATTAGCCTCTGACTGTTATCATTTATTTATTGTATTTTTCCAAGTATTAAAACAGTTGTTGTGGTGTTATAAGTATAGATATGAATTCAGTCATCTCTCAAACTGTGATCTCTACAGATCTCGCCCTGTACTGGAGCGTCCTGTTTGATCGAGATTTTTCAGAATAAATGCCTGATAAGAGTCAATAATTCATTCAGTCTTGATGATGAAAAGGCTCGTCGGTCTATTTGCCTGCCAGACAGTGACGGCTTCTGCAGCTGGAGAAAATTTCTTGAGTAACTACAAGAGCTCCTAAAAATGACGCCCTGAAGAACAAGTGCATCAGCCATTCGTCAGTGTGCATTTTTGCCCTTTTGTTCTCCAGAATGCTTAGAACATTTTGAAATGAATTTAAACAATTTAATGAAGCTTTGCAATGCAGTCAGCAAATACATACAAAACACTGTTTTCATGGAGATATGCAATCAACCATTAAACTATTTTGCATGTAAAAGCATCTGTGTTTATTTAATGGAAAATTGTAAGCATGTTTATATAAATTTGGATGTTCTTAGTGCCAATGACTTATGTCAAAAAGCATTAATCTAGTATTGTTTTTTGTTTTTCTATTCTGATAAACATTGAGTTAAAAAAGGATATTTTACATTTTAAAAACGGCAATAACAAACAGCAATGTTTAAGGTTTATGCCACAGAACCACAGCCACACCAGACAGTAGGAAAAGTCTACTTCACTAGAAACCACAGAAACAGCATATTGCACAATTGTTTGCACAATGCAGAAAGCTGATAAAGATTGTAAAACTGCATTACAGAGGCGTTATATTGAAACGTGGTGTGTATAAGCTGCATAGAATAGAGCGGGCGCTACTGAGACAGATTGACCGAATGACAAATAAACTATTCTTAAAAAATGTATTCTTTTAGAAAAAGCATGATCAGAAATCAATTTCAATTAATTTCTGCTTGAGTTTCTCTTAAAGAAAAGGCAAGACAACAAATTCTGTGCATATAAATAATAATGATCAAAATATCCAAATAGTATAAGCTTTTTTTGTAATCCACAAAAAAAAACCTATTTAAATGTATTGATTTAGCAAGTGTCAGCAACACACGGAGAACAGGGGGGCTGGGGGGGGTCATCATGGTTCTTAACTTGTTGTGATAGGCTACATGAGAGGAATCTCTTTTCATTATTTTCCCGCTTTAGCAAGTTAACTGAATAATGGAAATTAGTTTTATATTTTAATAAACCCATGAATAAAAATGTGGTGGACTGAGTCACTGCTGGCTGAATTGGACAGGTGATTTTCACATGAAGCGTTGGCCTCGAGTGTGGCGTGTGACGCAGCATTCAGTTGTGAGAAAAACGGCATCAGTCCTCTACTAAGCATGTATGCCTTAAGCTTCACCCTCAGCTTGTGACAGCTGAAGTGGATCTTGTGAAATGTGCGATTACATCGCCGATCACTCTTGAGAAACTTAAACATGAAGTAGGCTACGGAAGGACAAATATCCAAACTTTTTCAGACTACTGCAGCTTGCACTCACTCTGCCTGTTGGTTCGGCTTAGAGCCCTGCACGGGCCTCAAATTTAGGCCCTTATCAGACAACTTATCAGAATTACCGGCCCGAACCCGTCTTTTTTCCCCCTTCTCCCAAAACAGCTTATACTACTTTTTCAGCTATTAAAATAGTTTTGTATGTAATGACACAGTGATTATATTTCGTTTTGTTTTTGTTTTTTAAAGTAACAACAAAACAGCCAGCGGCAGACAGTGAGCCTTTGATCAATTTAGACTTCTCAAATCATCACGACTTGCCTAAAATAAAATCTATAAATATAAAACAGTTCAAGCATATAACAATGTTTAAACGTTAAACCCAGATAAATGTGCGCTGTATCCAATAGTTTGTGTGGAGAGTGGAAGCTAAAGCGCGCTTTGCAGGACATGGAGGCGCCAGCGTGATCCCTTGCATTTTTTCAGTGGATTCAGTTTTCGCCATCATTTTTGCACATAAAGGTAAAACTCGAGTAATACATCATTCGTACTTTGTGTGCACTCACAATATCAACAAAATGTTGTGCTTTTATAAAGTAAAGAAAACAAACATGATGCGCTTTCTGCCGTCTCGTCTTGAACAGGAGCGCTTCACAAAAATTAAACAAAACTCAGCGAATAGCCTACATGCCTCACAGACATGATAAATATATCTATAGAAAGCTTTAAACAGTGGTGTAATGTAACAAAGTAATAATACTTTGTTACAGTACTTAAGTATTTTTTGGGAGTATCTGTACTTTACTTCAGTTTTTATATATGAGCCAACTTTTACTTTTAATCCACTACATTAAAATGTATACTTTTACTCCGATACATTTCCCCGAAGCATATTCGTTACTTACTACAAAATACTCAGAAGAACACGGACTGCAGGAAAGCAGGTTTGATGAATCAGTGGTCTGGCGTTTGCAAATTAGACTCCTAAAAACACCGTTGCTTATGTGCAAACAAGTGCGCGCACAACCGCGGGTGATTTCATTTTCCACTCAAGTTGAGTCTGGGGTCTGCGATATACAGTATATCTGTGATAATATGGTAAGTGTTGTTGTAATGATGTGCAATCTGACATTATTAAGTATATCACCAAATCACACACAGAGTGCACACATGTGATTTATTAATTTATTAAAACTCAAAATTCCAGGCATTCTAAATTGCAGACGGCAAAAATGCTTGTGTATGCTTTTTATATTTATATAATTTAATATAGTTAACTTAATCTATATCACACAAAGTGTACCGTTTTTCTGCAGATATCAGAATGAACACATAATAATAATTTTAAACAAGTTCAGTAACTTAAGTAAAATAAGTGACTTACATTTTAGACATAATATTGCTTGTTTTTGCTCAATTTTGCCAACGGAAATAGTTCCAAACAAAGATCACAGCACTGTTTTGTGTCTCTCTGAGTAAAGGACGGTGTTTACTTATTGAATTAATCAGCTTTTTGAACGAATCTGTTGAATAAATGATTCAGTGATTCACTCATTAACACAGTCAAATGCTTTGTTCCTGAATAAATCAGTTGTTTGAATGAATCGGTTGAAT